TCCACTCATTCAACTGATCGAGTTGTTTTTTTTATATCGAACATTTCGAAATAAAACCTATAAAAGGAAACTATAGATTAACATTGATCTGAGTGAGAAGTAGAGTTGAGATGAAGAAATGAGATGAAAAAAGTAGTTGCAAAAGAGAAGAAAGAAATTCGAAAGAAAAGAAAGAGACCATCAACTTGATGCGAAATAAAGTTCGAAGAAGAAAAAAAAATCTTTTTCTTCTTCTCCTCATGATCAATTCCATAATCAACACCATCGCCATTATTTTCATTATCATCTTTTTCTTTCTCATTTTATTTGACACTTTCTGTAAGTTGCAAATAAGAATAAGGAAAATTGTGAAAATCTCATAGTAATGTAACCATAATATGCTTTTAATTTACTAATTGATGTTACAAATCATTCAGATTATCATCGTTATTGTGACTCAGTCAACGATGAAAATGATATTTATCAATGGAGACAATTTTCCATTTTTGTTCAATTGTCATTCATGAATCTTGACTTGATAAAGAAAATATTAAAATTATTATTATTATTATTATTATTTCAATTAATCTTTAATTAGTATGATTATCGATTGGATATTTATTATAATAGATTATTATTATTATTATTATTATTGTGAAAATATTACCGATTAGGCCTCAAGTCTGATAATCTAATAGTTTTTATTATCAAACAAATAACAAAGATTCAAATGAATGAAAACGGATAATGATAATCTATCATTTCTTAAGATGATTTTTTATCATCTTATCCATTTAACTAGAATCACCCTGTAAAGAAGGTTATCAGGGTGATTCTTGTTACTTTGTTAGAGTTGACAGGTAAAGTTAGACATGAAAATTGATCAATTGGTTTGCATTTATTGTCATGAAAAGATGAACAACATGATAAGTTGATAAAAAATTTTTTTTTCTTTACCATTTCTCTTCCGTAATCTTCATTAATATCATCATCATTATCTCTCTATCATCTTTCTTATTAACTTGCCTCTTTTCTGACCTGGTAACACACTGGGATTGATAAAAAATTCAGAGCTACTCTTATGCATTAGTTAATCATTATTATTATTCTGAAAGACTCATTAGCAAGTTGATGAGATGGATCAACAACATTATCATTTCCATCATGATCATCAGGGATATGGAATCTGTGATAATGAAAAAAGAGACAAAAAGAAAATTATTATCTAAAGAAAAGAAGATGTCAACCATAAAGAAAGACAAGTGAGTTAGTGAGAAGATAAAGTGGGAGGGAGATTATCAGGAAAGGTGAACTTTAATTAGAAAAATTTGATATTAAAGTTTCATTTATCTTGATTGATATTGGCTGATGACAAGAATAATGAAATGGATCAAGAGTAAATTGATTGGAACATGTTGATTGGTAATGATTTTCTTAAATGAATCTCAATCAACGAAACCTGCTGAGAGTTAAATTGTCAGCTAAATGAGAAACAATATTTATTTCTAATTGAAAAGAAATAAAAGTTTGATGAATTTAGTGTTGATGATGAAAATGATGATGAACATGAAGGAGCAAAAGTGAGAAAAGAGATTAGATTCCATCAATTCTATTGGATCATATGAAAGAAGATGAAGAGAGAAAATCATCTTGTTCTTGGTGTCTCTTCATTTCTTCTGATTCCATTGGAATCTGAAGCCAATAGCGTTGAATGTGGGCTGAGTTCTGACATGATATTTGTGCGCAAATTCAAAATTCAGTTGATAGACAAGATGAAAACAAATGAGAATTTGCCAGCAAGTTGAATGATGATTAATCAAAGAAAAGGTTAATCAACTTGATTTGAAGAGTTTCTTTTGCAATGAGATAAAATTATTGATGCATTTCAATTGAATGTATTAAACAATTGGAGCATCACAAGTGAATCAATTATAATCCATTGAGTATTTCAAGAGATGTTATTTTTTGTGACACACGTTGAGGTAAAATCCTTGAGACACTTTTCTATTGATCATAATGGAAAATCAAAGGAAAACTATGATATATAAAAAACACGATAAAAGGGAAATGGTTCATGCTCAGGTCTCGATGATGTACATTCGGCTCATCGGAAGAAATTGATGTAAAACGGAATTTCCGTCGCTTCTACATCAACTAGAGCATTTCTACACGAGTTGCATCTTCTCTCGTTCTAATGATGATGTGAAAACATTGGACCATAAAGCGACTATGAAAATCTACTTGATTCTTGTGGTTTACTGATCACAGGATTAGTCAAGCTTTCGATCCACCCGATGCCACTTTTATATCTATTAAATATGAAGAGAGGAAAAGGAAGCAGTTCCCCTTTTTTGATCCTTTCAATCTCTGTCTCTCTCTCTCTTTTAATCTCCCACTCCATCTCTATGCTTCCGGTTTATATCATTTCCTTTCTCACGGTTAATTCTGTACAATTAAATTTTTGATTAAGATGAACAAATTCAGATTCTAATGGTCAAAGTGATTTATCGAAGTCCAATGTTTTTATGTTGATTCATTTTCGACTGCTATTAATTAACTAATCATTTGGATGGAGAGTCGAGAGAAATCAGTTAATTGGATTGAATAAAACAATTAACTGTTCTCTTCCTTCGTCATGTTCATTATTATCTTCGGATATTTATCCTTTTTCATATTCGATTGTCTTCTTTCACTCATCATTCTTCCGTTTTTCTTTTCTTCTCTTTCATCTTTTGTGTAATATTTTCATCTTTCATCTTATTCATTACAAGTTTCGCCATCATTTTGACTTTCTTTTCTTTCTTTCTTTCACTATTCCCTTTATTCTGTCTTTTTCATCTTACTTTTCGTCCATTTCTCTTCTGTCAAATATCCTCACAAGGCCATTCATGCTCCAGGTCAAGGTCACCATCACTTGACAGCCCATTCAAATGTCTCTTCAATTGATAACATTTTTTCATGGATAAAATATCATCATGATCAACATCTTCTTCTGGTGAATCTTTTCCTTTCTCATCTCCATTTATTATTAATTCCATTTGATATCATTTGATAGAGAACAATAACTAAATGGTGTAAATAAATAATCTAATTACCTTAATCGTTATCTCCGTAACAATTAGAGAAGAAAAAAAATTATTGGATTAAAACTTTCGTAAGATAATGAAAATGTTGCATGTAATGTTAGATAAACAGAGAACAATTTGCAAAATTAAAAAGAAAATGAAAATTTAGAATCAGTTATTATCGATCGATCAATCAAAGTACTAATCCAACAACAATCATACCTGTAATTATCGATCACTCTATTGGTGCTAATAGTTGCAGTGAACTTAAGGTCAGAGTCAAGAAGAAGATGAAATAAACGAGGACATGAAACATGATGGTACCTATAAAATGCTTGATTAATAATGAACAAAGTTCCAATCATTTCCAAATGATGGCCACACCTCATCCGATTATAAATTCAGGTAATTCATGAATCAATTTCAATGTTTCAACTCTTTATCGTTCATTTCAACTTATTGTTACAGAAAAAAAACAAGATGAATTTATAATTCATGATATCATTGGTGGTGATGTGGTGGTTGGGATAATGATCATAATTACAGGTCATAAGGAATCGATGGAAGAGAGAGAGAGAGAGAGAGAGAGAGAGAGAGAGAGAGAGAGAGAGAGAGAGAGAGAGAGAGAGAGAGAGAAGAGGAGGAAGAAAAGTCAAATAAGAGGATAAAAAGTGACACACAGATAAATGGGAGAGCGAGAGGGAAGAAAGTTGTATAAGCGACTTGATTAGTATGATAGAGCACTAATGATGATGGTGGTGATGATAATGATGATGACATTTGCTTGATAAAATTGACCAACCCAACCCATCCTGTAAGAGAGTTGATGAAATAAATAGTATAAAAAAGGATAATTGATTGGATAAACCACATATAGAGACAGATTATGAGTGTGTTTTCATGAAAACGCCCAATAAACAACAATGTTGCCTGGAAATTAATGAAAAAAGATAATGATAGTAATCTTGTCGTAATCTTAATCATCCTGATTAAAAAGGAAAATAACAGTAGCACCAAAATAATGATTAAAAGAAAATAATTAGCAAGAGTCTCCCAGAGCGATGACACTGGAATACATTGATATCTATGTTACATGTTCTCATGCTGAGTAATTGAATAAATGGTTTCGAGGAAGGAAAAGCGAAGCAACTTGCTAATTGCTCCAACAGTTAAATAATTGTCATCAGTTGATTCTTTGAAATTCAGATGATTCCAAGATGTTTAATCCTCAATCTTAATCAATAGTCACACAAGACTGATCAAAGATGATCCTTAATCAACATGCTGTTGACAAGGCACGTTCAATGTTTCACTTGGTTAATTGTCATTCGGTGCAAGGTCAATCGTCTCTTGTACAGGATAACATGACATCGATTGAACCGTAACATTAATGACAATTGACTATTGTTTCAAAAGGGTGTACGCATATGTAGTAACATCGACAACGGAAGCGAATCCAATCATGATTCAAATTGATTGGATGAAATTTCAAATTCCAGTTTAATTAACCTAAACTCGAGTAAATTAGACAAGAGTCTCCACCTCGTGTTCGTCATTTGTATAGCTCATCATTGGAACTGAATAATGGGTTGAAAGTTTGGGTTACAAGGCGAGAAAAGATCGAAATTGGTCCGATGGCCTTTCGACAAGTGGTTCGTTGACAAAAGGGACATTCAACACAATAGAAAGTGTTACAATTAACGCATTTGATCTGCAACATTTTCGACAGTAACTCGACCTGAAACATTTCAATTGAACTGAACAATTAGAGCCTTTACTTTTCAGAAGGTTAAGTTGTTTCGTTAACCTTTACAGTTTAAAGATTTTTAATTTCTGCTTCTTATTTACCGAATCGTCAAGTCAATCGGACTGTTCAATCTCGTGGATCGTTGTACAGTCAATTCCAAATTCGTATTCAAAGTTTTCATCTCAAGAGTAAAACCAACAAAGTTCTGGTTTAAGTGAGGAAATTAATTAATAGCAATTTTATTCCCTTTTTCCAAAAGAATCATATTAAATAAAGTTGATTACAATTTAAAGTTTCGATCAGTTTTGAGTTTTTTAGATAATCAATGTCTCGATCAAGTCACTTCAAACAGTTTGATAAAACAAGCAATTCCAATTAAGTTTAGTAATTTAAATAACAATTTTATACAAGAATAGATTATATGTAACAATATTTCCCAAAAAAGTGAAAATTAAGACAAAATTTTATATATTATTGATAATTTGCAATTAAAAACGTTATATAAAGGAAATTATTATAAATAAATTGTTAGATTAATTGTAATCGAATGTCAAAATGGTTAAATCATAGAATTACATTTGGTTCTGGAACTGATTCATTGATTGACTTGTTTGGCAAAACTTTAACACCATTCAGATAAAGTTCATCTTTGACAAGAACATCCTCGCCGAGGACACAAGTATTTTCCATTCGAACCTGTAAAATTTAATATAAAATTAATAAATTTTGATGCTACCGATCAATAGTTATCATCTTACCCAGCGACCAATGGAGCATTTCCAACAATCAAACAATTGTCCAACCAGGAATGTGATTTAACAACACTGTCTCGTAAGATGGTACATCTTTTGATGCAAACTCCTTCTTCGATGACCACATTGGGTCCGATTGATACATTGGGACCAATTCGACAGTTCGGACCAATTTTAGCTGAAGGATCAATGAGCACGTTTCCATAAATACCAACTCCTTGGTGAAGCGTTGATGGATACATGTCTTTCAAAAAATCAAGATAAAGGCTCATGCCTTTCAAAAAGTCTCCAGGTTGACCAACGTCCATCCAAAAACCTTTTAAATCGAACGCAAAAAGTTGTCCATCTGAAGACATTTGAGGAAAATCTCTTTCTCGATTGAAGTTGGCTTAAGCTAAGACATCAATTAATGACAATTAGAAGAGGAAAACTTTCAATTTACTGGATTTTAAGTACCTGAATTCGATCCAAGATCGATGTGTTGAACACGTAAAGTCCTGAATTTATCTTATTCGAAACATATTCTTGAGGTTTTTCCACAAATTCTGCAATTTTTCCTTTGTTGTCATACACGACGACCCCATATTTCGAAGGCTCATTCACTTTAGTTACCTGAAAGAGAAAAGAATGAAAAGTCAGATAAAGCGAATAAAAGTCGAGTTGCTAGTTAATCTACCGCTATAGTTCCTTCCTTCCCGTGCGATTTGTGGAATAAGACCATTTCATGGAAAGGAAAATCACAAATGATATCGCTATTGAGAACAAAGAATGGCTCATTGTCTTCCGTAATTAAAGACCTTGCAAGAGCTAATGGTCCGGCAGTTCCTAATGGCTCTTCCTCGAGAGATACACTGATACGAATCCCGAGCTAAATTTTACAGAAATACAAATTAAAACAACGATCAATCAATCAATTGAAGAACATAATTAAAAATAAACTTACTCGTTTCTCTTCAGCTTTCAACTCTTTCTCAAGAAGCTCCGCTCGATAGCTAACCGCTAGAATGACATGATTAACACCAGCCTTTAATACCAAATGAATTAAACAACTTGACATCAGATAAACAAGAATCAAAGTGATAAAATTAACAATTAACAAAAATGTCAACTAACCTCGACCAAAGCTTCAATTTGATGAAGGATCATCGGTTTGTTACAAAACTCAATCAACGGTTTGGGCTTAGATAAAGTTAATGGGCGAAGACGCGTCCCATAGCCTCCAACAAGAATCAAAGCTTTCATGATGGTCAAAACTCAAAGGTCAAAAACGAAAGGAATGGTCAACAATCAATAGATAATCAAATAAAAACAAAATTAAGTCCACGTAAATAAACTGTTGTTGATTATCAACATTTCCAAGACAATATCACGTTACCATGACAACGATCGAAGCGCCAATTCGAGTGATTTGAATTTGAATAAAATTTTATCGACATTCGTGTTAATAAATCGATAACATGAATCATATTTGTCTAGTTTTTGGTTCAAAAATCTTGAAAAAAGAAATTCCAAGATTCAATTGACCAATTATCAAGAATTTTTTTTCAATAAAAGTTGAAACTTCCAGTGATTTCGTTGCTTTTCACAACTTCAATTCTGTGATTAAGAAGCAAAATAATTTCAATGATAATCCAAATACTTTCATGATACGATTCTATCAGATTTCGATAAATTTTCAGGGTCAAATGAATTCAAGTACTAAGGTATATGCAATAATCTATTTGCTATAATTAGCAGTTTGTTGTTAAATTCCAGTAACTGATAATTAGATCATCTGATGATCTTGTCAAAATGTTGAATATTATTCTCAAATTATCAGATAGATTTGACATGAATCTCTACAAATTTATGACTTTTTTGCGTTTTCCAGGAAAGATAAACTTTTGAGCAAAATTACTTAATGACCTGAGGGTTAATTGAATGGAAACATGAGCAAAAGTAGTGAAAGTTTAAAGTAAATCAGTTCTTGTGTAAAATAAATTAAAAGTAATTAAAAGCAAAAAAAAAGAGAAATAGATTTGTGATTAAAGATACGAGCTTCAAGCTGAACAATTAGATGATGATTGTTGAATCAAAGTTAATCAATTAAATTGAGATTATCTCAATAAGTGGAAAAAGTTAGTGAAAATTAATCACCAGAGGAAAAACTTGTGATGATACTTTAATTATAATCTAATAATCGTAATGATTTAAGAGCTGAAATTGAAATAGACTCGTTTCAATCTGAGAGTCAAATTATTGATAATAATCATTATGACATTGATTAGGATTCTAGATGATTAAAATCACGTGCAGTTTTCTGAGCTTGATTAACTTAATGGCGATTCGAATGACCGTCAGAATGTTGTTGATCTTTTGCTAAAACGAAAAATATTTGCATCAATCAACGATTCCAACGCCTTGATAATTAACGATGATAACAAGCCAAGGCTACTGAAGAGTTATAACTTAAATTGTCATCCAGTTTCATATGGAATCGTCAGGATGAGAGAAGATGATTCTCCTGATGATCTGAAGATGAAATAAATAAAAACAAAATTAAATTAAATTGGAATCATTGAAATCCTATGAGATTGAATATCTAGACCGGTTCATGATACCGGTTCTGATTGTTGATTAATTTAATGGCGAAAGAGAAACGAGTTTCACTTTCAATTTGTTTTCGTAATTTAAATCTTCCATTAACAATCAAGGATAAGGGATTAACTGTGGAACAGCAATCAAATGAAATAATACTCAATCACAACAATTAATTAGATCTTAATTAAATCAATGAGATTCTTTTCAATAGAATCGGATATTCATGATGATTCATTCACTTCAACTGAAACTGTTTATCGGTTAATAACAAAATAAATAATCTGTGGTTTTGAGTGGATCAAAAAACAAATTAAAATGTATCTCACGTTAATCAGATTGTAATTAAATTGCTCATCTTCTTAAAATATAATTATCACAGTGAAACTTTTTCTTTCTCAGCTTTTACCTTGAAAATGAAGAAAATATGATTCAGGTAAAAGCAGATTATCTTGTTAGTAAACCAGGTGAGAAATGAACATAGTGCACAGAGATGTTGATGATGATAAGATGATGAAGATGATGATAATGTTAATGACGATGATGATGAGCTGAAAGATGATCAAGGAGAAGATTTCTGCTGGATGAAGAAGAGTAAAAGATGACAGGGAGGAGAGAGGAGGGAAATGATTGTACCTGTGGGGAGTCAATTTAAGTTCGATGATGAAAAGAAAACCTAATCTGAATTAAGTTCATCTGGATCATGATTGGTCATCATGTGCCCCATGATAAACCCGATTCCCGATTAGAGGATTAATGGCGGAGTGAGTAAGAGTGAGCGGTCGAGTGAGAAGATGAATTTGAGTATAAAAAACCATCGGTCTTTGTGGTAGATTATCATTTATAATCAGGTTCATTTGGTCCCTTGAATTGAGCTTAAATTTAGTTTCAATTTAATTCTTATTTTAATCATGAACAGTTTCCTTTGTTTATCATTACTTTTTGCTGTCGCTTCAGCGGCCCCAAAGCCTCAACCAATTTCATGGGGCTATTCAGTTCAAGACGAAGCTTTGAAACCCGTCTCATGGTATGATGGTGGTGTTTCTTATGTTTCTCCAACCGGATATGGACCATCTTACTATTCACCATCAATCCACCATTCTGCTGAAGTTTCACCAAAGAATTGGTACCTTTACAAAGGTCTTCAACATTCAGCCCCAGTCGTTGCTCGATCAGATTCATCTGAATGGAAAGTTGACCCAACCTCATGGTCAGATGCTTCTTATGTTCCTCAGCCATGGTCAGCAGGATACTATTCAGCTGGTGCCCCAGTCGTAGCTAAAGTTGACAAGCAAGTCGTCGCCAAAAAAGTAGCAGCCCCAGTCAAGTTTGACCAAGTTCAACCCGTTGCCGATTCAACCCCAAAACTCATCTCATACTCATCGTAAGTTGATCTCGTTTTGATTTCATGAAGAACGTAAATTAATGTACCGAAAATTTATTTTGTTTAACCAATAATTAGTGAAATTTCTCACGACGTTCCCGCCAAAAAAGAAGAAGTTCCATCAGTTGTTCCCGGTACTCAAAACTTTGCTGCAGCTCCACAAGTAGCTCCAGTAAAGGTCGCTTCAGCTCCACTCCAATACTCAGCTTGGGCTGGTGAGGCCAAGCCAGTTGCTGAAATCAAACCCACTCCATGGGCTTTAGACGCTAAACCAGCATCATGGGGATCAGAAGTAAAACCCGCTTCATGGGCATCAGAAGTCAAGCCAAGTTCATGGCAATCGGAAGTTAAACCTGCAGGATGGACCTCAGAAGTTAAGCCCGCTTCATGGGCTTGGGCTGAACCTAAACCAGCTTCATGGGCTGCCTGGGCTCCAGAAGCCAAACCTGCCTCATGGTCATCATGGTCCGAACCTAAGCCTTGGTCATCATATGTTTCACCCATCCAACCTGCTTTCTATGGCGCTTCATGGGGTCAACCCGCTGTCTCAACCAATGGTCATCATGCCCTTTCAGCTCCATGGTCATCAGCTTGGTCAAACGCTCATCCAGTTTCATGGACTGAGCCAATCCAAAAGCGATCTGAACGAAAACCATTCTAATTTAATCGATTAATCAGTCTCAACAGTATTTGCCCAAAACCGACAAAAAAACAAAAAAAAATCAAAATGATTCTCAATCTTCACCTTTTTAAATTAACTCTGTAAATTGTGATTTTGACCTGGATAAGGTTTGACAATACAAAGGTCGAATCAATTGTTAACTTTTATCTTCTAACAAAAGATGATAATCCTTTTTCTCTCTCACTGTCTCAAGAAGCACAAACTTCAAACTCTTTTATAACTAAAAAGCAACAATAAAAACTAATCGATAAGATTTAATTCTCGCTTTGATTGTTGTCCAAATGAATAATCACCTGATTACCGGTTGTTCTTAGCTCTAATTTTAATGTCCAATCTCACTTGATACACACAATTTAGAACTGGATTAACAAATATGAAGCACTTGAAGTTGTGATTCAAAGCCGTAAGAAAACAATGACTAGAGATTAGCCTTAAAGCGGCTCGAGCTTTAAATCAGATTGAATTAATAGAAGAACTTTTGACAGCGAATCATTTCGTTTATCGAAATGAAAATAACACGGACCAAGTGTTACTATTGATTCTCATTGGACATAACCATTTCCTCCTAAACGTTCACGATTAGCTCTGAATTTAACGGGTGGAACCAAAGTGCTTGGAGCATCATCATTGTAGTCATGATGATCTTCCTTCATGAATTGCTTATCGGTGACAAATCTTTTCGGTGTCAATTTTAATCGCACGTCATCAGGTCTGTACACAGTGTACCAACTCCGATATCGTGGCATCACCCGCTGGTTGGTCGCCAAAAGTTTGTCAATGTAAAAGAAATACCCAAAAACGCCAACGAATGCATGACCCAAGCCAATCAAAGCGATCGGATGTCGCTGGTAACATTTCTTCACGCTCACTATTATCTTCAGATGCAAGGGAAGAGCACGAAAATTGGCAGTAGTGATCATGATGATAAACTAATCAATCTTCTAATTGGAACAATTAACAATTAGAAAATGAGAATTAATTTACTAATTGAAGAAAACCAAAACAAAGGTTAACTTTGTTTACTTTTTCTGACTATCGATCATCGCTTCATTCATTATCGATCATATCGATTCAATCGAGTCTCAGCTGGAAAATTTTGGATCTTCAATCAATGAGTGGAAACATTTTTCGAGAATTTTCCTAAAGTTACCTCTTTTTAATTGTGTTGATATTTTCTCTCAAGTTAAATAATTGATCCTAAATCAACATGTTACCAAATGTCCCTCATCCCGGAGCATTAGTGTCCAAGAAAAAGAAAGCGTTTATTGGTTTACCTGCTCCTTTAGGTTATGTTGCTGGTGTTGGTCGAGGAGCGACAGGTTTCACTACGCGATCTGATATTGGTCCTGCTCGTGATCCTTCAGATGTCCCTGATGATCGTCATCTGCACCCCAAAAAGTTCAAAAAACCAGGCACCTCATCATCGGGCAAATTTGACGAGGAGGAAGACGACGAGGAAGATTTGAATGATGCAAATTATGATGAATTTGCTGGTTATGGAGGATCTTTATTCAGTAAAGATCCTTATGATAAAGATGATGAAGAAGCTGATGCAATTTACGAATCTGTTGACAAAAGAATGGATGAAAAAAGAAAGGATTACAGAGAAGCCAAATTAAAAAAAGAACTTGAAAAGTATCGACAGGAAAGACCTAAAATTCAGCAACAATTCACAGATTTAAAACGAGACCTTGCGAGTCTCAATGAAGATGACTGGATGAAGATTCCTGAGGTTGGTGATTCCAGGAATAAGAAACAGCGTAACCCTCGACAAGAGAAATTCACCCCAGTCCCTGATTCTCTTTTAGCCCATAAAGCGAGTATTGCGAACTCCGAATCAGTTTCAATCGATCCAAAAACTGGCTTAGCCGGTGGACTTTCTTCTGGTATTTCCACTGGTCTTTCTACGCCAGGAGATTTAGATCTGAGAAAAATTGGTCAAGCTCGAAATACGCTGATGGATATTCGACTAAATCAAGTTTCGGACTCTGTGACTGGACAAACAGTTGTTGATCCAAAAGGTTATCTAACCGATTTAAACTCAATGATACCAACTAATGGCTCTGACATCAATGACATTAAAAAAGCTCGTCTTCTATTAAAGTCGGTTCGTGAGACTAACCCTAATCATCCACCGGCTTGGATTGCCTCAGCTCGTTTAGAAGAAGTCACTGGTAAGCTGCAAACAGCTCGAATGTTGATTATGAAAGGATGTGAAATGTGTCCAAAATCTGAAGATGTTTGGGTTGAAGCCGCTCGTTTACAACCTCAAGATTTGGCCAAAACAGTCATAGCTCAGGCAGCCAAACAACTACCAACATCAGTCCGTATTTGGATCAAAGCAGCTGATCTTGAAATCGAAACGAAAGCTAAAAAGAAGATCTTTCGTAGAGCTCTTGAGCATCTCCCAAATTCGGTGAGATTGTGGAAAGCGGCTGTTGAGCTCGAAGAGCCAGAAGACGCTAAAATCTTACTAAGTCGAGCAGTGGAATGTTGTCCGTCTTCAGTTGAACTTTGGCTAGCATTGGCTCGGCTTGAGCATTATGAAAATGCTAGAAAAGTTTTAAACAAAGCCCGAGAAAATGTGCCCACTGATCGACAAATTTGGATCACGGCTGCCAAATTGGAAGAAGCTTCTGGAAAAGAGTCTGCCGCTGAGTCAATAGTTGGAAAAGCTTTAAAATCATTGAAAACAAATGGAGTGGAAATTAATCGTGAGCTGTGGTTAACCGACGCTATCGATGCTGAAAAATCTGGTTCAATCAAAACATGTCAAGCGATCATCAAAAATGTTATCGGCATTGGGATTGAAGATGAAGATAAAAAACACACATGGATGGAAGATGCGGAAAATTTTGCTAATCAAGGTGCCATTGAATGTGCTCGATCCATCTACAATATAGCAATGAAAACATTCCCAATGAAGAAAAGTGTCTGGTTAAGAGCCGCTTATTTTGAGAAAAATCATGGTACCCGTGAGACTTTAGAGTCTCTTCTTTCCGAAGCCGTGAAAACTTGTCCAAGAGCTGAAATATTGTGGCTCATGTTGGCTAAGAGCAAATGGATGGCCAAAGATGTTGAAGGAGCTCGACAAACACTTTCTGATGCTTTTGCAGCCAATCCAAACTCTGAAGAAATTTGGCTGGCGGCAGTTAAATTGGAGTCTGAGCTATCAGAGTATTCAGGGGCTCGGAAACTTCTTACTAAGGCTCGAGCATCAGCTCCCTCCGCTAGAGTATTTATGAAATCAGCCAAATTGGAATGGGCTTTAAATCAGCATGAGGCTGCTATTAAATTACTCCAAGAAGCAGTTAAAGATTATCCAACATTTTCGAAACTTTGGATGATGTTGGGGCAAATAGCCCAGAGCTTATCGAAGTTCGATGAAGCTCGACAAGCTTATCAGTCGGGACTCAAGCATAACCCAACGTCGATTCCTCTTTGGTTACTTCTTTCTAGACTAGAAGAAGCCTGTGGTTCACTCATTAAGGCTCGATCAGTGATGGAAAAAGGTCGTTTGAGAAACCCAAAGAACGATCGACTCTGGTTAGAAGCAATAAGAATCGAACTTAGAGGAAGTCCAAATGGAAAAGACATCGCTATGCCCATGATGGCCAAGGCATTGCAAGAATGTCCAACGTCTGGAATACTTTGGGCTGAATCGATTTTCATGGAGAATAGACCACAAAGAAGAAGCCGAAGTCACGATGCCCTCAAAAGATGTGAACATGACCCCCACGTACTTTTGGCTTGTGCTAAATACCTTTGGTCCGAAAGAAAATTAAATAAGGCTCGAGATTGGTTCAATCAAACAATAAAAGTCGATCCAGTATTCGGCGATGCTTGGGGATATTATTTAAAATTCGAATTAGCCCATGGAAATGATGTACAACAACAAGAGGTAAAGAGTAGATGTGTCGATGCCGAGCCTCGTCATGGTGAACATTGGACTAAAATATCGAAGGACATTAAAAATTGGAAACTCAAAACCGATGAAATATTAATTTTACTTGTTCAGAGTTTACCTTTACCAACCTAATTAAGACTCATTTTACTTTAATTAAATACATTGTACTTAATCTACAAAATCAATATTCTTTTTTTTACAATTACCTATTTCCATCATATGAATTGATATATCTTAATGTAATAACAATTAATAAATTAGATGACAAACTTGATCCAATCAAAGAGCAGATCTAAAATGTACTGTCTTATCCGAGACGGAAATCTATTAGTTTGTCCAATTCAATTTTCGTATCGATTTTTGTTAATCATGATTCAATCTTTCGCGATTTGTACATTTAAGTTGAAAATGGTTAATCTATTTTCTAGTGATAATCTCAGAAAAAAGTCCAACAACTACTAGAGTAAATCTAGATAATTAGCATCTAATTTAATTGGCTGATTGTGGTAATTGGACTTTTCAATGATCTTAAACTTTTTCGACACAATCAAATTGTTCTGCAAAATCGTAATCTCGTAATGTCGTTTTCCTAGTCATCAATTGTAGACCATAAGTATTATTGTAATAAGAAAACAATAAACTTCATTCATCAAAATCTCAAGTTTTCATCTTTAAAAACAAAAACCATAATTATAATCAATTCATTTACGTTGGATTTTTTTCTGAGATTATCAACATGTTTAGGTTTAAATTGTCGGCAAAATTGAGATAATTATAAAGGACTTAAGTTTATTTAACCCAAAGCTGATTGTAATCGGTCTCAGTTAAGTGTAAAGAGATTGTCAAAAGATGAGGATACAAATTGTGGTTATCATATTCAAATTTCATCAATGGACCATGAAAATTATTCAGAAAATAACCTTTCTCATTTTGAGTAAACTGTTTCTTATTATTGTCACTAATTGCTCGTTAGTTGGTTAATTTTTATCACTTTATCATAAATCTATTTTGTAGTTAATTAATTTATGGAAATAAATGAACAAACTCGACGAGAGTAGAACTACAGGTAAAAGATAAACACCACGAAGAACAGAATATCTTTTATATAAAAGTATAGTTCTAATAGACGAGGTGGAGCTTAATGTGAATCGAACCAATGAGAATCCAATGTTTATGTGAAGATCCTTTGAATTGATGTTACATCTTGTTTCCTCCTTTTCCTGTTCACATTTTCTCCGCATCATCTTCATCTTCATCCTCATCTTTCGCCCTCATCTTCATCTTCATCTTTATCTTCATCCGCATCCTGATCACTTTCTATTCATCTCTTCAAAAGCCTCACATATCCAACAAAAGATGGTTCTTATTATAATCTAACAATTGTTTGACTTTTATTGGATTGTTAATTAATCAGTTAACCAGTTGAGTGTATTGTGATTTACATGAAAATGTTTGTGTTGCCAACAATCAATTGGAAATTAAACTGTTAACCAAGGTTTAATTGTGTTCAATGTTATAATTGGTCCACTTTAATAGTTTAATAATCATTTGATCGTCTTAATTGTGACCAATTTAAATAACTCAATCAATGACCAGCAAGGACTCGACGAGTGACCTTAAAACTGAAACATTAAGTTGTCAATCTAAATCAAATCTTCGTTTGTTTTCAAAAAGTTTCTGTATCGATGCTTTATTAGCTCGAAATGATCCGATTACCATAACGTCAACATCACCTTCAGGGGAATCAATTGGTTCACCTGAGGATGATTGTCCATTGTCACCAATTGACTGTCCACCCTCATCACCCAATTCACCGATCATCACTTCAACATCTACAACAACATCTTCATCATCTTCCTCTTCATCCGCATCATCAGCTGGTTCTAGTGGTGCGAACAATAGTAATAATAGTAAAAAGAAAAAGTCATCATCAAGTGATTCGAAAACAGGTAAACCTCGTCGAGCTCGAACTGCATTTACCTACGAACAACTTGTTGCTCTCGAGAACAAATTCAAAAGTACTCGTTATTTATCTGTGTGTGAACGTCTTAATCTTGCTGTTAATCTCCATTTATCAGAGACTCAGGTAAATAATTTTCTTATCAAATTCTAAGCGAATTGTATCAAATTTAGTTGATCACTTTCTTTAGATTTTCTATCAAGCGAAAAGTCTTTATGTAAATGTCGAAATGATAAAATTGTAACTTTCTTTGATAATCTATTCTCTCAAGGTGAAAATATGGTTCCAAAATCGTCGAACTAAATGGAAGAAACAAAATCCAGGAATGGACGCTAATAGTCCGACTGTTCCACCTTCGCCGACGGGATCTCTCTGTGTTTCTGGTCCATCATCTTCTTCCACTTCAGGATTGAGTTCAGGTGCTTCTGGTTTCATGGGATCACCTTATTCATCTGCTGCTCTTCTCTATGCATCACAATTGTCTCTTTTCAATTCATCATCAGTTGGATCAGTAGCATCTTCATCACCCACACCAACAACAACCTTACCATTTAATGCTCACCAACACTTCAATCATGCCTCAGCTCATTCATTGATTCATCACCTCATTCATTCATGATCACCTTTACTATCACAAACACACACTTATATTTATCAACCAAAACCAAAGCCTGAATGTAAAAAACTATCACCAATTTCATGGTCACATTGATACAAAAGTTAATCAAAGATCTCATATTAATAATATCATTTTCCTCTTTTACTTACAATTGCTAATTAATTCTGTCTAATTTGTTATTAACACGTTATCATATCAAGTTAATTTCGTCAATCATCTTGTTTCTGATTAGTGACCTTGTCATCTCTCCCATAAATCCATGTATGCAATGTACGGAATTATTATTATCGAATGATAATAAAACTGATCATCATTACATTTCTTCCCTTAAATTAATGAGCCAACAATCATAATTAATGGTCATTCCTGAAAAGGTGAAGATAATAAAGGAAATCTGTGAAATATTAAACATGATCATCATTTGAATATCAAACTTGCTGCTAATCAATTAAAATTAATTTAATCTACTCATTATTTTTACAGGATCGAGTGATTATCATTAAGTAAACAAAGTGATCTCTCATTGAAATAATCGCTTCGTTTATCAAGTTGATTATTAACAAGCCCACTGAGTCTAGTAATTTGAATTGAATTAATTTCTTTTTAATCTCATTACCTCGAGGTCTTTGATAGATATCAGAATATATTATAACATGATATCCCCAGAGCTCAACTTAAATTCAAATGAAACGATAAATGTCCCTGATAATGGTTATGGTTCAAGTAGTTTGCTTAGCAGAACAAGAAGAAAGAGAAAAGATTGAAAGTGAAAGAAGATGAGGAAGAAAAATTGTCTTATAATCGATGATAAAAAAAGAGAATCATTTTAACTCCGAAGTGATTGTAACTCAATCCACTCCCAAGTCAATTTGATTATGTTATATTCACGGTTCGGGTTAAGGATGAAGGAAGATGAAAGATTAAGGGAGAAGCTGAAATTTTGCTCTGAACCAATTTAATCGAGATTATAAAAGATGATGTTGATGGAACGAGATTGTCTACCTCATCATCATTATTACCATCATTGTCTCCATCATCATCATCATCATCCTCATCATCATCCTCATAATCGTGTAATCTTTTCCTTAGTCAACTTAAAACCGTAAATCAACAGCATGAAAAGAGACTGAAACCTAAAGGATTCTGAGGCCTATTTAGAAGGCATCGATCCATGAATCTTGAAAATGAACGACAACGATTATATTTCTGTGAGATAATCAATCTTATCAGTATCATTTAGATATGAGCGAGTTTTTTATATTTAATGTGACATTATTATTATTATTATTATCTAAGATCGTGAATAGGTGAGGATCCATGTTGGATAATTTTACGGTTACCTGGATACCAATTAGAGTTATGAATGAAAGAGATTGAACCATGAAAATGAGAGAATTGAGTTTCACTCTTGGAATCATGTTAATCGGTTATAACCATTATCAAAGCAATCATTTTATTAACACAATTATTATTAATATTATCATGATGGGGAACTAATTTTCTTTATCATGTCTAATTAACAATCTACTCTCATCATAATTAAATATCAATTATCAGTTGATTGTTTTCATATTGGACAAATTATCCAATGAATGTAAATAAACAAAATCCTATAACCAAGTTATCAGTTTATCCAAAGATTATAGAGCTAAATTGGTAAATTAAGATAATATTTAGATAATAATATTAATAGTTAATCAACAAATGAAACTCTCGATAAAGATAATTAGTTTGATGAGTACTCATTTATGAGAAACTTATTTATGACGATGATCGGTAATCGATATCATAATAATAATAAGCAACTTTTCATTGGGATTTTGAAAACGATCGTCATCTCGATCTCGATATCGCCATTGTGACCTTAAATTGCTGGTCAAATCTCATCTTAATTTGATAAAGAAAACTGGATTGACAGAATGTGAATGATTATAATGGATTCTGACATTTAGACTGGAAAATAAACCCTAATTTAAGGATTAGAAACTAAATAACAATCATCTTGTTGTCAACTGATAATAAAAGTAACTGTTTATTTATAAATAATTTGTATCATTATTGTGATAATAACATTTTCATTGGCCAATAAAAAGTGAAACTAAATTGTCATGTAGATTATACATTATCTCAACTAATCCGATTCTTTCTCCATCTCCTTGAATATTATTTATAATTCATCTTGTCAGGTAATCATTATGTGATTACTGAAACAAACATGAAACTGTTTTTTTTGTTCATTGTTGATTTAACTTTTATATTGGTTGATATTAATTAACTTTGATTGTGATTGATTGTATGATGATTACGATTATTCATTCATCACTTTCATCCCCTGGAATCCAAGCACATACAGTTCATTTGATAATTACTATGGTCTATTTTAATTAAACAGTAAACATGAAACTAATTATTGCAAATGAAAAAAGTATGATTATAATTAGCTTGAAACCATAATGATAATTAAAGATGATAATTAGGATGATCAAGTTTAGTTTTTTTTTTTCATTCTGTTTCAACTTTGATATCTAATCATTTGTTTAATCATCCAATTAAACACAACATTCAGATTAGTTAACTTGAAACATTATCATGATAGTTTTAAATAATTACAATGAAATTAAATGAATTTACATGAAGCGAAAGTAATCAAGTAATTTGAGCGAGACTTTAATTCATTTTTTAATTGTTGCTCAGCTAATTATATATACAATTAATTGTAATAATATTAGTTCATTCTAATTGATAATTAATTAGCAGGTTTAACTGTTTAATTATCGACTTAATGTTTCCGAACAATTTTCTCCTGTTATATTTGATTCGATATAATTTTTAACTGTTGCCCATCTAATTGATTTTTTCATCCATTAATTGTCAATATCAATGGAGACAAATATTAATAGAAACAGTTACCTTTTCAATGAAACATTGAAATCTGAATCCCATGTAAATATCTTGCTTGATTGTAACTTGTTTCTTGTCACAACTTAATGCTGATGATTGACAATCAAGGATAATAATAAGGTTTGATTGTTTGTTTTCCTTGTTTGATACTTTATTTTATTTATGATAATAACTATCATCATCATCGTAGTAACAATAATAACAATGATATAATATCGAGGACCAATAATCTTAACAGAAATGGATTCCAAGATGATAATAATAAGACGGAACTGTTATATGATTGTAACAAAATTATTGATCTTCACTTATTGTTGTGTCTACAACGTTACTATGATGATGACCATGATATTCATGGTCATCAATGATTGTCACGAATGAACTTATTGATTTAATAATTGTTAGAATGTTCTAGAAGGTGATCATGATGTACTGATCATGATCACCTTCGTTATCATTGTATCCATACATTGATACATTGTATCTTTTAATCAGTCCCACTTCCCTCTTCCCTTAGTCAACATTAAAGTCTAAGTCTTTTATAATAATTGTGGTTATTATTTAATATTAGTTAATATTGTGTTAATTAATAAGGTGAATTAAGATTATTCGATTCATTTGGCGACCCAGGCAGGATCTGCGGATCGAGTTCTCAGTGATCATTGGTTAATTGTGAAATGATTTGAATTCAATTGAACCAAAATTTATATACAAATTGGTGGAAAATATTCAATTAAAATCAATTGAAATTTGGTAAGCTTTTATTTAATTTATTTTGTGTTAATAGTAGCTACTCTGAAGCAGCTTAAAGAGCAAGCTGGAGTGGTGATATTAGTCACAATTAAATTATCTAAATTAACCAAAGGTTAACCATTATTACGTGGTTAACACAGCTTCAAAAGCAAGTTGGTCAGCTTCACATTAATCAAGTTTTGTGATTGTAATTAGATTTTAGATTTAAAATGAATTACAAAATTTAAACACAAAGTCTAAGACAAAAAAAAAGTGAATAAGTTGTAGTTAAAAAAAATGTCGATCATACAAAATGGTATTCTCACTGAGTCGAGTTTGAACATTTATCGATTAACTGGTGATAATGGTCAAGACATTTTCGATTGGTTCGAGAATTTCGAATTCGAAACTACGGCTGTTGGTTGGGATGATGAGCTTCGTTTGAAACGATTCCCAATGTTCATTGCTGGTACTATAAAATTATGGTACTTATCTTATGTTAAAAATAAAAATGTTGTTGACTATAACGTCATGAAGAAAATGCTGTTAGCTGATATTGTCAATCCGGAGTATGGACACTTATTGGAGAACAAATTATATCAAGGAAAACAAAAAGAAAATCAATCGATTTTGTCATTTATATTGGAACAGATAAAATTATGTAAAAGAGTTAATGTTCAAATGGACGAAAGAAAAATCATAAGGTTAATCATAAGAGGAATAAAACCTGAGATATTAGGTAACCACTAAAGTTTTTTCCCTTTTTTGATTGTTAATGTTTGCAGGTTGATAATTAGAAAATTAGACTTTTGTTGATTATGAAATTAAGTCTATTTTAAAGCTTAAGTTCTAAGCTTTCGAATGATACTAATTTTATCAATTTGAAAAAAATAAAAAAATTATCATTAAAAATTTAAGAATAGGCCATTTCTCTGGTTTTGGCTTCCTCATGGAGTCACTTTTTAGGCCGGAATGACCTGAAAATTTTTTTGATAAAATAAAATTATTATTTAATTATTGAACTTATTTGATTCGAAATTTGGTGAATTTTGATAATCAAATAGAGGAGAAATCGCCATTTAAAATCAAATTAACACCAATTTTCGCCAATGCTACGCAATGGTAAAATTTACCTGTTTTTATGATAAAAGGTAGAAAATGGTTCTCTATGGGGATTTAATGTTAAATCATTTTTTGTTCAGGTAATAATTTCTCCTCTATTTGATTATCAAAATTCACCAAATTTCGAATCAAATAAGTTCAATGATTAAATAATAATTTTATTTATCAAAAATTTTCAGGTCATTCGAAGCCTAAAAATGACCTGACAGTGAGCGCCAAAACCAGAGAAATGGATATTTAAACAATGATAATTTTTATTTTTTAAATTGATAAAATTAGTATCATTCGAAACTTAAGTGCTTTAAAATAGACTTAATTTCATAATCAACAAAAGTCTAATTTTCTAATTATCAATCTGCAATTAACAATCAAAAGAAACTTTAGTGGTTACCTAATATCTGTCTTCGCCCAGTTTGAGATAAACTCGGTTCATGATTTACTCCAAAGGGCACAAAGAGCTGAAATTACTCATCAACGAGCTAGTGATAGAGGTTATCAGAGCTCAGGTAACTCAATGGATGAGCTGGTGCAGGAGATAAATCAAATGGGAGCTAATATCGATAGATTAGCTTCCCGACTTAATTAATTAGTTTTATTGATAACTAGGAATTTGGTTAAACGTAGGAGATGGTACATAGTGGACTGGTTGTTGTGTCAACGGTCGCCTCCT